CGAAGTCCATGCGAAAATAATCAAATTACAACACAAATCGCGAAATTGGTCTAACCCGACCCCTGGGCCCACATCCCGGAGTCCGATAAAATTTACATCAATAAACTCTTAATCCGCCCACAAGTTCATACATACCAAGAATACCAAAATTCGACCACAAATGACCCCTCAAATCCCTAATCGAATGTCTCCAATTTCAAGCCCTAGTTCTTCAATTTTAACCACAAATTTCCATATATTTCAAGCATAATCCGTGAAATAACGCTATAGGAACGAGTTTTAGGTTCAGAAATCTTACCTCAACGAAGCTCCCTTGAATTCCCTCTTCAAAATCTCCCAAAAAGCTCCAAAACCAACTTAAAAATGGTGAAGAAAGACTGAAAATCGTGAAGTCCAAAATTTATACTTTCTGACCCAGGCTTTTCGCACCTGCGGTCCCTACGCCGCACCTACGGTACCGCATCTGCGGCTAAAGCACCACATCTGCAGTTTTCACTTAAAACCAAAATTCCGTACTTGCGCCTCACCATCCGCACCTGTGATCTCGCAGGTGCGGCCAATCATCCACACATGCGCTTCAGCCCTTGCATGTCAACTTTCGTATCTGCGGCTAGCCTTCCGCTTCTGCGGTCCCTCACCTGCAGTCCCCAAGCCGCAGGTGCGGTTATGACAGTGGTTCAGCAGCTTCAGCTGTAAATCTCAATCTCCAAATCTCCCGTCAACCATATGAAATCACCCCAAGGCCTCCGGAACCTCAACCAAAAGTACCAACAAGTCACATACCGCCATCCAAACTTATGCCAATCTTCGAAACACTTAAAACAACATCGAAACAACCAATCAACCACGGATTCAAGCCTAAGAACTCCAAAAACTTCCGAATTCCGCTTTTGATAAAAAAAAGTCTATCAAACTTCGTCTGAATGACCTGAAATTTTGCACACACGTCACAATTAACACAGTGGAACTACTCCAACTTCCGGAATTCCATTCCGACCCCTATATCAAAATATCACTTATCAACCAAAAAACGCCAAAATTCTAATTTTGCCAATTCGAGCCTAAATCTATCCCAGACCTCCAAAACACATTCTGATCACGCTCCTAAGTCCCAAATCACCTCCCGAAGCTATCCGAACCATCGGAATTCACATCCGAGTCATTTTTCACATAAGTCAATATCCGGTTGACTTTTCCAACCTAAGCTTACTTAAAAGAGACTAAGTGTCTCATTCCTATGCAGAACCATTCCAAACTCGAACTAATCAACCCGATACCATATAACACAGATGAACAAAGCATAAAGAAGTAGAAATGGGGGAACCAAAGAGGTAGCTCATGAAACGACCGGCCGGGTCGTTACAGTAAATCACTAAATTGGGCTAAAAAGGTTGGTGGCCACGTGTTGAGCCCATATGTTCAAACCTATTTTTTCAACTCATACCCAAAATTTCGGTTTTTCGATTTTGCCAAAAATCGAAACACCTAAATCGTTAACCGCACCGAATACCAAAATTTAATAATTTATAAACTGCACATCGACCGAATAACCGCTTAAACCGACACCGAAAAATCAAAATTTACGGTTCGGTCAGTTTTTTCGATTCGGCCGGTATTATGCCCATCCCTACTTGTCAAGTAACTTAAACTACAATAATATCAAAACTGCACCACACATTAAATGTCTCCACTTTCAAAGTGAGTTCGTGTTACATACTTCTTTCATAGCTCCCGTTAAAACTAACAATTCAAGTTTGTTGAATATTATTAATATAGACCAAAAATACTCACTTTTGACAAATTTAAATGTCCATATATACTCGTGAGTACATTAAGAATTACTATTGCATTTGCCCCAAACATAAAGGACAATTATTTTCAGGAAGTTACTATATTCATGGTTCGATTTGGGTCGTTTTTTCTATAAAAAAAAATCAAACTAAGTAAGTTAATTTTACAAATACTAGAATCAAATCAATTAAACTAAGATATTTTTTATCGATTCGGTTTATGTTGGTTGTTCGATTATTTATCGTTTTTTCGGTCAAATATGACTGCCGAACACATACTCTGGCGATTATATTACAATATAAAACTATTAAATCAATTATTTACTAAAATATATTAATAATAATTGAATTAAAGCAATAAATATTTGATGAACTCAATTAAAGGTAAATTATTTTAGAGATTTTTGGACTTAGCAAAATAAAAATATCAAACAAATAAGAATGTAAAGTAAAGAACTAGATTATTATAAGAGCAAAGAACTAGACCACCAACTAAGAGTGCAAACCATTAATATGTACCATAAATTTTTTACATTTTATATATATATATATATATATATATATGTGTGTGTGTGTGCGCGCGTGTGTGCGTGTGTGTGTGTATGTATGTGTGTGTATGTATGTATGTATGTGGGTGTGTGTAATAATAAGTTTCAATAGATATTCTATAGTCGATTTGGTTTGGTCTTCTTAATTATTTTTCGCTTATAACTAAAACCCAACCAAAATTGATTATTTTTAAATTTAAAACCAAAACCGCTTCAAATTAAAAATGTGCCTTTCTTTTTCTCGGTTTGATTCAAATTTCGATTTTGTTCGCGTTTTTTATTAGTCATGCACAAACTTATACTTCACTATTATGCACCGCTCAACTACTCCCTCTGTGTTATAAAATAAAAGCAATATAACAAGAACTATATAATTAACTAGGACTAATAATAGAAGAGAATGGTAACATTAGAAGAGAGGATTTATTTCTTTGTTTCTGAGTGTGGAATAGGTTCATCAGTGAACCTATTTATAGAAATATTTCGTTGTTACAAAGGCAATCTAAAACCGGCTATGAATACATAACCAATCTAAAACTTGTTATGGAAGACATCCATCGTTGCAAGTGGATGAACCATTAGCGGGATTTATAACACTCTAGTCCATAATAAGTGATTTTTTGGCTTTTTTCTTGTGGTCCAATATAAGTGATTTTTCCAAATTTCAAGAATGAATTAATTATTTTTTTCCTACATTGTCCTTGAAGTAAATAATATTGGAGTATGTGTGTTGGGAGTGTTTATGTGAAGAGATAGTAAAGATTAATATGGTCAATTTCATTGATAATTAATGTTAAACGGTGAATTTCTTAATATTTGTGAAAACAACAAAAAAAAAATTACCTATTTTGGATGGGAGGGAGTAGTAAATAAAGCCAAAAGGTATTATTATCTGTATGACTAATTACTTGATGATATTTATGAATGATAGTTATTAAAAGGTCATTCTTTATTAACGATTCATAGTTGCTTAAATAATTAGGTATCTTCATTAATGAACACATAAAGGCCAACAATAGGTTGCAAAAAAAAAAATATTGAAAAAAACAGAGAACTAAATACCTGCAGAAGGTGTGGCACTACGAGGATTCGTAACGTAGATCTATTTTGAGCGAGGGGAAAAAAAGAAAAAAATTGTACGCCACGCGCTGGTGAAGCGAGAGTGGTGGAGGAGGATTTAGGTTAATAAATACGAGGGGTACATAGTAAGAAAGCCATTGGTCAGTGGAAGAGCAAAATGAGGCAAAGGGTGGGCCCATTCCCGTACTCTTGGATTGGACATTTCTGGAAAGTTTGCCTTTTATTGCTATTATTCCAATTTCCCTTTTCTGAAACCAAACCCCTCTTGCCCCTCTGCCGTGGACCTGATCCCCCCCTGACTCACAAATCACAATAATTCCCAATATTTTTATTCCAAATAAACCCCTCTTCCACTTTATATTTACCATCCCCTTTTCCTAAATAGAAGCACAACTTTTTCCCCAATTTCCTAAATAGTAAAACAAGTTGAAAACAAAAGGCACTGAATGCAAGTTGAGAAATAAAATGATAAAAAGATAAAAGAGGTTAAGTCGTGCAAAATATTTATATAATCAAATTAAATTTGTCTACACAGGATGCATAGTATTGTATCATGAAAACAGAGCAATAGTAGCTTGTTATATCCAAATAAAATTATAATAATTATGTATTAAAAAGGTAACAACGAAGTAGGCAGTATATGTAACTTAGTCCTAAATAAAAATCAGTAGGAAAAGAAAAGAAAATGTAAGAGAGGGAGAGATAAAGGGGATTTTGTCTAACGTGGGAGTGGATGAATGAAAAGGAAATGACAATTAGTTGTAGCTAATAAAGGTAATGGAGTAGTAAGTCATCCATTCAGTCTTGCAGCTGTCTATTTCCATTAGTGGATATTTTACAAATATATATATTCAGAGACAGATAGAAAAATCAAAGGAATGGATGGAGAGAATGCTTTTCGATTTGGTTAACGTCGGAAAGTTGCGTAAGAAAGAGACCCTTCTTACTTTAAATTTTTACCCTTTTCTTTTTCCTTTTTCTTTCTTTGAACAGCCAATAAGAAAATATCAGATAGATTTCGAGATCAGTAAAGTTACTGTGGGTACACAGTTCTCCTCTCATTAAAGTGTGTAAAGTGAACTAGCCAGTTAAAAAAACGAAAGCAAAAGTATTTATGAATAATTAAACAAGAGCGAAAGGCAAGAAAGAAAATAGATTAGTAGTACTAGGGTTGGGTGAAATGGGGTGGCTGCTTTTAGGGGCAGTGTTCTAAAATTGGCCGAGTTTATGTCTGTATTGGGCAGCTAAGAGAGGAATGGCACAAGATCTAGTGAAATACTACTAGTAGCAGTATAGTTAATACAAGTGGGAAACATATCTAACCCTATATCTCTCTCCACTTAACTTTTTTTTTCCCAACAACTTAACCTCTCTATAAGTCGTAGGTTTCATGTTCTTTCAATACTCAGCACACAACTTTCGATTTTTCATCATTATTTTATATATATTCAACTCCACGCATCTATTTTAGACAGACAGAGAGAGAGAGAAACAAAGAGGCACAACTAGAGGGAGAATATTTAAAAGTTTGAGAAACTGAAAACAAGTCCTTTTGTAGCAATAGCCATAACCCCCCCCCCCCCCCCCCGACCACCACCATACCCACCACCACCCCCGGGTCGGAGATGAGAGGAGCTGACCCATAAAATATCTGCAAAATTTTCTACTACTATTTTTTATTTTATAGTTTTGTGATTCTTGGGTTTATGGAGTGTAGAGAAATGTGGGATCTAAACGATTCTCCAGATCGACGAAGGGATGATAAATCAGAAGAAGGCTTCTCTTCTCCTATAGAGCTAGAGGGCGATGATGAGAAAGGTAAACGGGTCGGATCCGTTTCGAATTCAAGTTCATCAGCAGTAGCTATTGATGATATTTCGGAGGAGGAAGAAGGAGAAAAAGGCAAGAAAAAGAGAAGTAGTCCTAGCAAAATATTTGGCTTCTCCGTGGTGGGTCCCGGTAACGACGATGAGGAACAGCCGGTAACCCGCCAGTTTTTCCCGGTTGATGAGTCTGAGCCAGGTGCCCCTACCAATGGATCCCCGAATTTTCCCATGGCTCACTGGGTTGGAGTTAAATTTTACCAAACTGAGCCACTTGGCAACACGGGAGCGGGCAAGCCAATGGATGTGGCTCAGCAACAGCAGCAGCAGCAGCCTATGAAGAAGAGCCGCCGTGGACCAAGGTCTAGGAGCTCACAGTACCGTGGGGTTACCTTTTACCGGAGAACTGGCCGGTGGGAGTCTCACATATGGTGAGCCATTAAAACTATCCACTTCACGCTCCAAATTATTATTGATTCCAATTTATACCTTCCATCGCTCTCGTCATTTATTCTTCTAAATTATTACCCGTGCTCCTTTTTCCTCATTTGCTTTAATAATTTTTCAGGGATTGCGGGAAGCAAGTCTATCTAGGTACGTGATCTTTATTTTCCTGAACTGAGTTTTCCGAAAATTAATCTGATAATTTAGTCGGCGTTTCCTTTTTATCAATATTTCTATGTAGGTGGGTTTGACACGGCACATGCAGCAGCTCGGTGAGCTCCTGGTTCTCAATACTAAATGTTCTTCGTTTGATTTTTTTTTTCGTATCTGATAAATTAAAAATAAAATAATTACAGGGCATACGATAGGGCAGCTATCAAATTCCGGGGAGTAGAAGCAGACATAAACTTTAACTTAGAGGATTATGAGTCCGACTTGAAACAGGTAATTTCGTGATCTGATCAGCGTGACAGACTAGGAAAAGTGTGTGTTATGTTTTTTTTTCTTTTTTCTGTTTGCCTGTCTAGTTGGAGAACTTTTGTATAATCCTGGCCTTATCTTAAACAGTCTTTTCCTTATCTTCAACAGTTGTTTGCTTTATATTTTGATTGGAAGAAATTGTTTTTTATTCTTTTTTCGATATATATATATATATATATATATTTGTATGATGCAGATGACCAATTTAACAAAGGAAGAATTTGTGCATGTGCTTCGGAGGCAAAGTACTGGATTTCCGAGGGGAAGCTCCAAGTATAGAGGGGTGACTTTGCACAAATGTGGTAGATGGGAAGCTAGAATGGGACAGTTCTTAGGCAAAAAGTAAACAGTAAAAAAATAAATCCTATTCTCATCTTATTCTTCTGAATAGGTTCAATCCATTTCAATAGGAATATTAATCCCTTTGTTCTAAATTGAGTTTTTGGCAAAAATATCCTTAAATTATGGCTCAAAGCAAGGGTACATCCTTGTCTTATTTTAGTAAACAAAAACTATCTTTATACTATTTAAAAAGTTGCAAGAATCATCCTTCCGTTAAATTTTATCACAAAAACTAACAGCATCATCAAAAGACCATGTCCATCATGTCCCCTCAATTTTCCAATATTGTCCCTCCTACTCAAGACTAAGACTTCAAAACTAGAAGTTTCTTTCCATATGAACTTCACACCCAACTATGGTATGATAGTTGGAACTCTCCGATCTCATGCTATACTATTTCTTGCTAACTTCCTTTTGGAGAGGAAAGTGCAAAGCCTTTAAAAATAGTGGAAGAGTTTTGACTTTCTAAGCATCAGCATGTATTTCACTGCACGTACGGTAGGTTTTGATATTCTATCTTTAATTTGAGGTGATGATGCAAGGTTTGTTTTTAAAATGTGACTCCAACTTCGGTTTAGCTCAACTATTGTGAAACGACTCACTCCGACAAATGGAAGAGAACTAATCTAGTTTCAGACTCTCAGGTTCTTGATTTAGAGCTAGAACCTTTTAATTTTTCTCATTTATAGGTAGACTAATAAAACTGACACAAAGAGAATCAGCACTCTCATCAAAGCTCGGCACAAATATAAGATTTTACATGATCATAATGCACTTCCACCTCAAGGTCGTGCCAATCTCTTTTCATCATCTGCTTGTTATAAGAAGACAACTTAAGGAGAAGTTATTTCAGTGTAGGCCATTTTTGTTCATTAAATAGCAGCAACTTTAAAGAAGAAATAAGCAGCAGCTAGTTCATCCTACTAGCTTTCTTGAAGAAGAAGAAGAAGAAGAAGAAGAAGAAGAAGAAGGGGAGGAAACAAAAATTAAGAAGGAAAAAGAAGATGGTCAACACGTTTTTGGAAAAGTCGATTGGGCAGGAGGGATAATATTGGAAATTTGAGGAGAAAAGGCACGTGATGGACATGGTCTTTTGACGATGCTATTAGTTTTTGTGATAAAATTTAACGTAAGGATGATTCTTGCAACTTTTTAAATAGTATAAGGATGGTTTTTGTTTACTAGGATAAGACAAGGATATACCCTTGATTTGAGCCATTGTTTAAGGATGATTTTTGCCAAAAACTCTTCTAAATTCCATTCTTTGCTACCTATTAGTTACTAATTATTCTCGAATTTTTGTTGAATAGGTATGTTTATTTGGGCCTCTTTGATACTGAGGTTGAAGCTGCCAGGTGTGTGGTTGCACTGCCTAATTAATTTTTCCTACTTGGTACTTATTAATTTCCATTGCTTGCTCTCGAATTACTAATAGAGAGCCTTAGTCCTTTAAGTTATTGAATATATATAGTGCGGCTAACGTTTTCTTTTTTAAATTTGCTTCAACTATATTGTTTTTTATAGGGCTTATGATAAAGCTGCTATCAAGTGTAATGGGAAGGATGCAGTTACTAACTTTGATCTTAGCATTTATGAAAATGAACTCAACTCAACTGGTAAATACTATACTACATTTATTTGCTTTCTACGTGGTAATTAAGTTGCTGTAATTTCGTAAACAGAAGATCAGAAAAAAAAAATTATACAGAAAGAATTAAGCTGCAAAATATTCATTAGTGTGGTTTTCCAGAATCTACTGATAACGCAGCAGATCACAATCTTGACCTAAGCTTGGGTGGTTCAAGCTCAAAGCAAGGAAACCGAGAAATTGGGGATAATAACAATAGGGGTCAAAATCCTTCATCTATGCAATTTGATGTTGATTGGCGGCAGCAAGGATTAAGGCCTGAGGTACTAATTAATTAGATGAATATTATCTTCCTTCTTCATTCGATCTTCAAATGCAAAATGTTTTATTTTCCAGAAGCAAACTGCTCCAATCGATATGAATGCTCGAAGAAGAGATAAGGGGTACAATGAATCAGAAACGTTGCAGCTCTTGAGCCAGACACACCTACATTCTCCAGTCTCGTTGAAGCCTAATAATAATAGTCAAGTGNAAATGTAGGAGAAATTTCGCTGTCAACAAGCAATGCTTCTTCACAATGGCAATCCAATTATCCTTCTCAGATATTTGCAGCTGCTGCAGCATCATCAGGATTCCCCCAGCAGATAGTAAGGCCTCAAAATTGGTCCTCAGAAAATGGCTTCCATCACTCTCTCATGAGACCCTCTAATTAACTTCTTCATCATCATATTTCTTTGCCATTTATAAACCTTTGTAAAGAGTTAAGGGTTGAGATTCTTAATACATAGTATTACCCAAGGCTCTTGGTTACAACCCCGGAAAAAGAAAAATAGAAACAAAAATTTTTGGGAAATTCTAACTCTTTGGAAAATTATGTCTCCTCCGCATTTGTCCAAAACTAACTGAAGGAAAGATTTTCAACTAGTCTTCTATTAGATTCTTCTGACTATAAACTGCCAATTTAATTTGCCCCCATTCGCAGTCGTGCTTTTCACCTACCTCTCATTGTAACTTGTTTACATCTGGAGCTTTTTATTGAGCGTATTATATACTTATTATTTTATTCGCTTATTTTTGTCTTCATTCTTTTACTTGTAACAAAAGCCCAACTACTTCAAATTCCCATTTGAGTAATGAGATGGAATAAACAAATTAACGTCTTTGGGGTAATTGATGTGTAATGAGTAGAAAGAGTACCAAAACTCTTTGACAAGTACGGTACGTATCTTTTGTTAAAATGGGGAACTTTTGATTAGTCTTGTTCATACTAAGAACGTCTCTGACGTCAAATGGGTAGCACAGGTCAAACACTTCTCCCTTTTTTTTTCTTTCTCTTCCTTTTTAGACATGTGAAAATAAGGACAGAGTGAAACGAAAAGAGGGCAAGTAGGCAGATGTACAAAATGGGGTGGTTTTGTTTTCTGGGAAAGATCACCGGATGGGGATGAATTATCACTGTCAATGGATGTCCTTTGAATCAGTTCTCATGACTAATATATGTCAGACATGGCTATTATGGTGAGAGGGACTTAACAACAATAACAAGAACCCCACTTTAATATTACAAGTGGGATATAAGGAAGGTTCGCAAATGTTATCCCAATTTTCGATAGACTCTCGCCTCAAGATAAAAGATGAAAAAAAGTAATAGCAACAAGAAATAATAATAGGATAATGAAAAAATTCGAACTGAAAAATAGGGAGGGTAATAATAGTGGTTTACGACTAAGAAAATACAAGACTATACTGATATTATTGGTGCTGAAAAGAAAAGCGCTCGACTATCTATTAACCCTTTACATTACTTTTTGACCTCCACATCTTCCTATCAAGTGTCATATTATTGCATGTCTTGCCTAATCACATCTCCCCAATACTTCTTTGGGTTATCTCTACTCCTCCTCTGACCAATCAAGACTAGCCTCTCACACTTCCTTACTAGTGCATTTGCATTTCTAGGTTTCACATATATGCCTGAACTATTTAAGGCTCGCTTTCCGCATCTTGTCCTCAAAGTGAGTCACTCCCACCTTATTCCGAATATCTTCATTCTTAATTTTATCTGACCTGATATGCTCACACATCCAACTCAACATTCTCATTTTTGCTGCTCTCATCTTCTGGACCTCAACCCTAAAATTAATTTTCTCTTTTTTCTTTTTTGGTCCGAAAAAATTATGGCGAGAGATCCATCATGGCACCTTGCTACCCGGGCCTTCACGCGATGCTTTAGGAGTCCGGAATCGAAATGTTGTCTTTTTGAACTCAAAATATTTTTTTAGGTGGAAAAAAAAATTAGTTACCAAAATATGTAAAACGCGGTTCAAAACTGCGGTTAAAAACCCCTTTTTACAAAAACGCGGTTCACAAGAGCGTTTTGTGCTCGTGATGGATATTTGCTCATGCGTCAACTATCTTGTTCTTGCAACATGAAAATATGAACAATAGATATTTGTTCTATTATACTTCTCCGTCCCATCTTATAAGGCACTGTTTGATAAATTTTGAAAAAAGAAAATCAGAATTTATGGTAACTTTTACGTATTCATTTGGTTATAATTTACCTCATTAAGATAAAATAATTAATTTAATTTAATTATTTCTAAATATAAAAGGTGTTCTTCTTTTTACAGGCTTGTTTCACTGAATTATGATTGTAAATAATGTAATGTATTTACTTGAGTTATTTCACCAGCTACTTATTTCATGACAATTATGGACTTGTCAGGAAAAATATTGTTGGATATATGGCTATTTGTAATAGATAGATTAAGACTATTTAGAAATATTTATATACTCAATAACATTTGTGGTACTGAGAATGCAGTTGCATATGTAGCTTTAGTAATTAGTGTTACCAATCAATCCAATCCAGTAATTTCTAGCATGAAACATAAATCTGTGTAGAAAATAATAAAATTTTAATAAATTACATTATAAAACTCATAACTTTAAATATATCATTGTTTAATGCTCAGAAATCTACGAATCCGAACACATGTGCAGATGGCACGACTAATAGCCCGTTTGGGCAAGCTGCAAAAATCATCTTATTTTGAGAAGTGTTTTTTTTTTAAAAAGTGCTTTTCTCAAAAGTACTTTTGGTGAGAAGCAGTTTGTGTTTGGCTAATTAGTTTGAAAAGCACTTCTGAGCAGCAATTAGTGTTTGACCAAGCTTTAAAAAACTGCTTCTAGTGTATTTTTCTCAAAAGTACTTTTGGTGAGAAGCAGTTTGTGTTTGGCTAATTAGTTTGAAAAGCACTTCTGAGCAGCAATTAGTGTTTGACCAAGCTTTAAAAAACTGCTTCTAGTGTATTTTTCTCAAAAGTACTTCTCAAAAAAGTATTTTTGGAGAGAAGCTATTTTTTTCTGTTTCTCCAACACTGCTTCTGCTTCTCTTCAAAAGCACTTTTTCCTTCCAAAAGCTTGGCCAAACACCTCAATTTTTTGCCAAAAATGTTTTTGTTTGGCCAAACAGGCTATGAATATACTGACATTTGAATCGAATTATACATATAATATAATCTAGTAATTTAAAAACAACCTTTTGCATCAGTACAAATTACATCAAACAATATGTCAGCCATGAAATCATCAAGTGAAAAGGAGACAATAGAAAACGCTCTTGTGAATCGTGTTTTTGTATTTGTAAAACGCAGTTTTGAACCGCGTTTTACTTTAACGTCCCAAACTGCATACGGTTCAAAACCGCATTTTATATATTTTGCTAACTTTTTTTTTATACCTAAAAAAGTGTTTTAAGTCCAAAAAGACAACATTTCGATTCCGGACTCACGCTTTAGCGTTACTCTAAGATTAACTTCAAAGCACGTAGGGAATGAAATTGGGAGTGAGTATTGACTGAAAACCCGTAGAGTTGTTATTGTATATCTATTGATGAAGAGAATATCTTTAGATGTGACTAGTGAAGTTTGATCTAATACTCTGCTACGAAGAATTTATGGTTACAAGTACATCGTTAAGGGTAAAATATAATATTTAAAATTAAAAGTTTAAAAACATAAAAATATATTTTCTTAACTTAATTCATCATAAAGAAATCACATAAAATAAAAAATTTAAAAGTGTAAAGTCTCTTTACAACTATGTGTAAACATTGTATCCTCGTCGGAAAGATAGGGGTGAGAAAAAAATATAAATCTAAAGATGCAAAGTTTGGTCTTCAATAGACCTTTATCTTCTCTTATCAAGAACCTTTCACTCCAAAAATATTTTTGAAAAATAAAACACGTGCATGGTCATCACTCAATAAAGGTCAAACAGGGTTTTCCAGATTTAGTCGCTTCTACCGCTAGTTTCTATAATTATGTACTTTGTCAGAGGACAGAGTACAAAAGTAGAAATAATTTTAAAAATCTTAATAAACCTTTTAAGTATGAGATTAAATAAATCAATCCTTGTGGAGCTTTGATGTCCAACTTTCAATTCGATATTATACTAGGTGATAAACGAAATTATTAAAAATGGCGCGTGGTTTCATCATCTAGGGCGTCATAATCGATTTAATAATAGCTAACCTTCTATTTTTGTCCATTCCTCTTATTGTATTACTAGTATTATATTAAAATAATTATGTATTAGTTAAACAGAGTTGTCATGTTAAAACAATAATACAATACAACTTGATAAAATAGGATTTCATGCTATTCTCTCTTTCTCTTTTTCTAATTGAAAATAAACAAATAAAACAAGTGCCTACGCCTATTTTTTTTTTAAAAAAAAATAAAGAATTTTTTTATTGATGATTCTTTGAGGATACAATTTTATTTGTTTGATTGATTCTTCTTTTTGGATTGTTCTCTGTGACTCGATGTACAAGTAAATTTTGTGTTCTGAGGCTTTAAAAGCCTCCTTTTATCTCACCTCGATTTGTGTATACGGTCCGGGCATATATCCGGAACGTTGTTATGTGAAAATTTGATGAAAATGCTATTTTGGCCTTTAAAAATTGAATTTAAGTTGACTTCGGTCAATATTTTGGGTAAACGAATTCGGACCCGTGATTTGACGGTCCCGAAGGGTCCGTATGAAAATATGGGACTTGGATATATGCCCGCAATTGAATTCTGAGCTTCCAAGCCCGAGAAATGAATTTTTGAAGAAAATTGTTTACTGAAAATTTAAAAGTTTTTCGAAAGTTAAACGTATTTGAAATTGATGGTATCGGGCCCGTATCTTGGTTCCATAGCCCGATACAGGTCTTATTTGGTATTTAGGTTGAGCCTGTAAAATTTGGTAAGAAACGGACTTGATATGACGTGAATCGGACCCTTGGTTGTTAAAACTTGAACTTAAGAGATCTTGATATTCTTCTTTGATTTTGATGCTAAACTCGTTGTTAAAGGGGTTAATTTGGCGATTTGATTGCACGAGCAAGTCCATATGATGTTTTTAAATTAGTATGCATGTTTGGTTTGGAGCCCCGAGGGTTCGGGTGAGTTTCGGATAGGTTTCGAGATGTTTTTACACTTAGAAAAGTTGCAGGTTTTGTTGTCTCAGGTGCCTAGTGATTTTGTTCTTCGTGTTTGCGTGACTTCTCTCACGAACACGCAAGGCAAGTTCCTCAAATGTCAGATTTGTTCATCGCGAACACGGAGCTCAGGACGCGAACGCGAAGCTTGGGGGGAGGGTTTCCCTTCGCGAACACGAAAGCCTTTTTGGCTGGGGACTGGGGGAAGGGATTTTGTTCTACGCGAACGCGGCCACTAGACCGCGACGCGAAGGCCATCTGGGTCTGACCCCTTGCGAAGGCGACAGGCCCATCGCGAATGCGATGAAGGCCTGCCCAGTCATTTTAAAACAGACTCTAACGCGGACATCACTCATTTTTCGTCATATTTTCGAACTTCCAAGGCCTAAAGGCAATTTTCTTCACTCAAATTCATCCCCAAAGTGTTGGTTATCAATTATAAAC